ATTTTATAAATTAATTTAATTACTAGCCACTACCACCATTTGTCAGTCGAACAGGTTTGGAATAATTAATTGGAAAGTCTTCGTAAGGTGAGTTAAACCACCCTAATTAATGAGTTTTATATCATTACTAGACAAAATGTGTTTCTTGACAGTGTGAAACGATCTATTTAATCCATCATTTTATTGGCCTGCAAACTGTGTGTGTGTGTGTCGTTTTCCTAACTAAACTTATTAGTGGATTTGAATTTCCAGTTTGTATTCATGGCAAAGCTACTGAGGCTTTTAGCTGCCGTCCTTAATTTTGAACTATTGAAGAACATGAAAATTATCTTTGCGTGATTTCAGCTACTATCTAATCTTTCCAGAAACGCTCGAACTTAGGTGGTTTTAATTATCCGAAAACTAATAATGATAATTGATATCGAGAATGAGTCAGTTACAAACTAAAACCAGACTATCTTTAAAACGTTTTTCATGACACTTTTCAATTCAAATCATTTATATATGAAGATATAGTTAAACGTTTTATGAAATAGGCGTACGTGAGTTCGAACTTGTGTCTCATGATGGTATTGTTATGTCTCCGTTCGTTAGTTAATTTTCCGTAACTTCGTTCCGACGAAACTTTAGCGACACAAGTCCTTTCTTAAATAAATCTGGTTTATTGTTTCTGAATATAACTTTGCGATACACTTAATTTCAACAGTTGCGCTATAACAAACGCTATAACAACGAACGTCTCACGTGCTCAACTTTAACAATACTCTCTGACTGCAGTTCAATTACTCATAACCTACACATTGTCCTGTCACGTTGTGACCATCTTATATATACCAGCCTACCCCCAATCTAGTAATCTCCCGACAATTCACGAAGGTTCGAGAAAGAAGTGGCGTGATACTAGTCACGTGACCTCGCTGACGCAACAGTATTATTAAAACACATATATGGTGGAGTGCACAGGGTGGTTGTTCTGGTTGCCAGTTCCCATCCCCCTTTACAAAAAATAAATAAATAAAGATTAAAGAAGAAGAAATAACTAAGTCTTCATGAAGTATGATATCCCGATTCCACAATGATTAGGGCATCATTGCCTTCTGTATGGATAGGGCGTATAATATTTATATTTTGTATAAACATACTTTAAACTGTGAACTACTTGCTATCGTTTTGTTATTTTTGCTATTTTCATAATCTGTTAGAACTTTGTATGTTTACAGTTACAAAGATATTAGATGAAATACTGGCACTGGTTTTTTATTTGGGTCTGAACCATACTAGCTCCCACAGACCCAGCCTCGGGATAGATTGATTTGTGTCGGGTTATATTAGACGGTGTTACGTCTTCGTTTGTTAGTTAACTTTCCGTAACTTCGTTCCGACGAAACTTTAGCAACACAAGTCCTTACCTAATAAAACTGGTTTATTCTTTCCGAATATAACTTTACGATACACTTAATTTCAACAATCGCGCTAAAACAAACGCTATAACAACGAACGTGCTCAATAATACTCTCTGACTGCAGATCAGTTACTCACTGTCTACACACACACACATTGTTCCGTCACGTTGTCACCCTCTTTTAAATACCAGCTACCCTATATCTAGTAAATGCTAGAGCATTCGCCAAGGTACAG